ATTAGTGTTTTTTTAAATAATATTTATGTTCTACTTGTTGAATCATTTTGTCGTCAGTTGCCGTACACTTTTTCTCCATTTCTTTACTGCATTTGACTTAGTTTATGTTGCGTTACACTTAATTTTTCACATATGATGAAAAAATAGCCTCAGGTTGAGACCTCATGATAATAATATATTTCTGATTAAGACGTCTCCCTTTTAACGAACGTTTAATTCGAGTTATTTTCATTTATTTTTTATGTTCCACTTGTTGAATCATTTGTCGACAGTTGCAATACACTTTTTCACTTCTTTACTGCCTTGAACGGATTTTTTGTTGCGTTACACTTAATTTTTCATTCATGATGAAAACATCGCCCCAGTCTGAGACTTCATGATAACATCTTTTTCTGATTTAGACGTCTCATTTTTAACAATTATTCAATTAGTGTTTTTTTAAATAATATTTATGTTCTACTTGTTGAATCATTTTGTCGTCAGTTGCCGTACACTTTTTCTCCATTTCTTTACTGCATTTGACTTAGTTTATGTTGCGTTACACTTAATTTTTCACATATGATGAAAAAATAGCCTCAGGTTGAGACCTCATGATAATAATATATTTCTGATTAAGACGTCTCCCTTTTAACGAACGTTTAATTTGAGTTATTTTCATTTATTTTTTATGTTCCACTCGTTGAATCATTTGTCGACAGTTGCAATACACTTTTTCACTTCTTTACTGCCTTGAACGGATTTTTTGTTTTGTTTACACTTAATTTTTCACTTTTCTGCTATTCAAGCTATGAAACTTTGAATTCTTTAAAATTATTTTATGGACAAATTAGTTCGCAAGAAGTTCAGTTTTTCTAAGTTTTCTTAAATTTACACTTAATATCACTTTTCTGATTTAGACGTCTCACTTTTAACAATTATTTAATTAGAGGTTTTTTCAATTATTTTTTACGTTTTACTTGTTGAATCATTTTGAACAACAACATGAATAGCTTGCTTAGAAAAGTTAAGTTTCCGCAAATTGATTCGGTTTATGAAATAACTTGAATTCTTTCGAAAGTTCTAGCACAAAAAGCTTGCTTAGAATAACTTGTTTTTTTTTTCGCGAACCAGTTAGGTCTAAGAAATAACTTGAATTCGAAAACCGATTTGTTCCTTAAAATAACTCAAACTTTTTCCATTTTTTATCGGTTCAGTGACTGCAAAGGAAAAAACTTCAATTTTTTGCTATCCGATTCTCTGCATAAAAACTTAGAAAAACTGAACTTCTTGCGAACTAATTTGTCCATAAAATAATTTTAAAGAATTCAAAGTTTCATAGCTTGAATAGCTTGCAAAGAAAAACTCTGCTTTTTCGTGCTTTGTTTCGATCTACGAATTTAATTGAAATGTTTCATACCTGAATAGCTTGCTTAGAAAAACTTCAAGATGTTCAAATCGGATAGAGTCGATGAAATATCTTGAAATATTTCATAGCTTGAAGAGCTTGCTCAGGAAAACATAAGCTTTTCGCGAACTGATTCGGTTCAAGAAATAAATTGAAGCCTTCAAGCATGAGCCAAATAGCTAGCATAATAAAACATTTTTTTGGTAATCACTTTGATCTATGAAATATCTTGAAATAATTCAGAGTTCCATCGCTTGATTGGCTCCAAAAGAAGAACTTGAACAGTTGCTGTAAAATTAACTTCTGAAATAATTTCAAGTATTTCGAAGTTTCATCGGTTTTCGAAGTTTCATCGACTTCAGCAGAAAGTTTGATTTTTTCTTTATCCGATTCGCTTTAGTTTGTTTCAAAGATTCCAAGCTTGAAGAGATTGCCTAGAGAATCTGAAGTTTTCTAATTTGGTTTATGGATGAACTTGAAAACATGTTGATTAATTCTAACAAACAAATTGAATTGTTTCAGTTTCATAGCTTCAGAAGCATGCTGGGGTCGCTTACATGGCTTTAAAATATAAAATAATTTTGGGCCATCCAATTTGCTTCATTTCAAAGATTCATAGCATAAAAATCTTGCTTAGAAAAATGAATTTTTTGAAAACTGGTTTGGTCTATCAAATAAAGAAAAATTGTTTCCTCTGCTGAATGGCTGCAATAGAAAAAAAATATATTTTTGCTATGCGATATCCTTCATGAAATAACTAAAATTATTTAGTTTTGTAACTTGAATGGCCCAAGTAGAAAAACTAAAAAAAAGTTTTGCCATTCAACTCCCGTAATGAAAAACTACAAAAGGTCTTTCTTTGCCAACCGATTTTCTCCATGAAATAAGTTGAAAATTTCAAAGTTTTTGCTTAATGGCTTGCCTAGAAAAACTTGAATCTTTTGCGATCCTGTTCTCTCTGTGGAGCATTTTGAAATAGCTTATTAAAAAATCTAACTTTTCGCCGACTGATTCTCTCAATGAACAACGTGAATTTTTTCAAAGTTTTAATAGCTTGCCTAGAGAAACGTTACTTTTTTCGCGAATTGATTCGCTCTATAAAACAACCTAAAATTTTTCAATGTTTCATCGCTTGAATAGCTTCTTTATAAGAACAAAGTTTCGCCATCCGAGTTGCTTCATAGAAAATTTTGAATGTTTTCAAAGTTTCATAGCTTGATTAGCTTGCTTAAGAAAACATCAATTTTTTGGGAACAGATTCTTTCTATGAACCCTAAAATTTTCAAACCGATTTACGATATGGCTTAGCTTGGATAGGATAGTTTCCTTACTTGGATAACTTGGTCAGAACAACAACTAAGTTTTTGCGAGCCAATTAAAATTGGAGGCGGGCTTGCTAGTACTGGCTAAATAAAATAAAATTCGATCATTTTTTGTTCTGTGGGTGAGAAGTTACGTTGACAGTTACCTTTTAGTTCTTAAGTTATTTATCATTCAAATTCAGCTTGCGTCTGTCTGATAACAACTATTAACCATTACTATCAAATTAAAAAGTTTTTGTTGGAGCTTTCTGCGTTCGATTTATTGAATATTGTATTGACAACTAGCTGTCACCCTTTTCTCCTCTATATTGTGTTAAGCTGACGTTTTTTTAGGTTCACACGTAGTGTGCTCCTGTATGATGAAAGTATCGACCAAAGTATCGTTGTATTCTAATGACAATTAGCTGATTATGAGCTGTTATGTTCAACTGATATCAAATGAAAAATTCATTAAATTGGTTTCGTTATCTTCTCCTAGTGTGATCTTATGATAAAATTTCGCTCCAGGTTGATACCTCATGATAATAATAAATTTCACTTTGCCGATCTCTTAGTTAGGCGGAAGATAAGTCTGGAGTTTCCTTTGAAATTTGAGGGGTTTCAAAAACAAATAGCATTTTTAGGATGTTTTTTTTCGTCTGAATGAACAGCTAGTTAGAATTTATCTCATGCCAATAGACTCAATTGTTTATCGCTACACCCCTACCCTGTCTGAGCAATTTTAGTCGTAATATCTTGCTGTAAAAACATTTAGATAGCGAACAGATTGGATCATTTGGAGCAACTGTTCTCTAAGTTAATCCAACAGTCTTTTTTTTTCTTGAAACTGAAGAAAAATTTTGGGTTTTCTCATTAAAGAGTTTTTTTATAATACAACTAAACGACCCTATCTCAGAAAAACACTCGAAAAAAGAGTTCTATGTAGGTCGCGATGGATTTTTTGCTTTTGTTTTCAAGTTTATACTTTTTCGCTGGTTAACTTATGATTTCTTATTAAAATTCAGTTGATTTCCTTTTTTAAGAGGCAAACTCCACTATCGAACAGCATACGTATAAAAGTCAGGAAAAACGTTTCGAAAGTGGAAATTAATTGTCAGATTTCCCAGCGAAATAAAATTGTCCATTTTGATCCAGTTGTCTCAAATTGGTTTAATTTTATCAAAAAAGTGTCAATCATGAATTGTTTTAGAAATTTAAAGAGCTTTAAAGCCATTTTTTCGAAATTCGAGAAAAAAAATAAATTAGATTTTTTAATAGGAAGTAAGTATTTTTGTTCCATTCATTTGCAGGGTGGCGCTGTTTTAAAACAAGGGTGTTTTAAAACAGTGTTTGAAAACGCTTGTTATTTTTCAATGCTTAAGGTTATTGAGGTGTATATAAAGCAAAAGGAGGCAGACAAATAAATTTAAACCTTAAATCTTTTTGCTTTATATGCACCTCGTTTTACTAAGATTCACAACTTGCTAAGAAAACTTAAAACAACAGATGTTAGGAAAATCGATTTGGCTGACCCAGGGGCGGATTTAGGATTTTCTCGAGGGGGGGGGGATTTTTTTGGTCGACCAAATTGATTTTCTGAGCTCTCCTTAATCACTATAAAGACCTCATTCTGACCAAATTTTCTGCGCCGCAGGAAAAATGTTTGAAAAAAAAACAGACCAAAAAAGGCGTTTTTTGCAAAAATTTTGACCGAAAAATTACCGCTTTTTCGGCGCGCGCTCCCGCCTCAAAATTAGTATAGATTAGCGCCGAAGGTGCCTTTAGAAAAATGGTCCGTCACCCAAAATGGATATCTCAAAAAAGTACAAAGGGTGGTCTCTGGGTTACCAGGGAGTCGAAACGCTGAGAGGGGGGCATCCCCCCCTAAATCCGCCCCTAGGCTGACCTTTCCTTTAAACTAAAGGCCCTTGTCCCGAGTTTTTCCGTTGATGAGATTCGTTCACACCGATAGGCACCAGCGGACTTAGAGGGGCGGACGCACCCCCCCCCCCCTCTCCCTCAGGGATTCGACCCCCTGCCTAGCCAAAGGGTCCCCCACTTTGTACTATTTTGAGATATCCATTTTTGGTGACGGACCATTTTTCTAAAGGCACCGTCGGCGCCAATATATACTTATTTTGACACCCCTCGAGAAAACCCTAGATCCGCCCAGCCGATAGATACAAAAAATATCAAAACTTGCCTTCTTTTTAAGAGCATTGAACGAATCGTCAAAAATATCCGACATTATGATTTTAAACTTGTTTTAAAACAGTTTTAAACGTTTTTTTTTTTATCAAAACAAAGCACTTTAGAGGTCACCCTGTTCATTTGCCTTCATTGACTCTTTTTCAACTGTCTGTTGGCCATGTTTGCCCTGTACCATTGAGCTTTTTCAGTGGTGTCCTCGATTACGATTTACCGTGCGGAAGAGCCTGGGTCTGCCATTGCTACGGGAATTGCTGGCCACTTTTGAGAACGACTTCGTCATTGCTGCAGTAGCGGGAGCTCTGAAAAACATCTGCATTGATCTTGACAACAAGAAATTGATCGGTAAGCAATTTAAGCAAAAAAATCATTGTTAGTTTGTCGGGTATTATCTTTCTGACGCATGATCTGTAGTACAATTTTTTTGACGTCCAAAAAATTTTTTTCATGAAAATTTTGTTCCAAAATTACTTTTGAATGTTAAATTCATATATCGTCGTTGTTTAGAATTTTTTTCTTTTCTATATCTTCATATAAACGCAAAATTCTAATAATTAAGAAAGTTTTTCAAATAAAAATACCAAACTTGAAAATAGTTAAGCAATGAATTGCAGAGCCTTTTGGTGAAACAAGAAGCATTTCAAAAAAATCCTGACAATTTTTTGCTCTCGCAATGTGATCACTTTAAACTTTATCAGATTTCAAATAATTTTTCAGGAAGTGTCTTGCAATCGGGGCCTGGTTTTTTCACGTAAACCATTTTTCTTTCAAATCTGTCAGTTTCAAAGCTCTTGTATAGTTCTTAAAAAGATTTTTTGTTTTTCAGGAAAGTCTTAAAATGATCTAATAACTACAAATGTGCATTGTCCCGAGTTTCGTTGATGAGATTCGTTCACACCGATAGGTACCAGTGGGTTTAGAGGGGCGGACGCATCCGCACCCCCTTCCCTCTCTCCCTCAGGAATTCGACCCCCTGTCTACGTACGGGTCCCCACTTGTACTATTTTGAGATATCCATTTTTGGTGACGGTTTCTAGTGAAAAGTAGAACTTAGTTTTTAGATTCCCGGTGAAATAAAAATGTGCCAATCAATCCAGTTTTCTCAAATTGAGGTAATTTTGTCGAAAAAGAGTGAATCATAAAATTTTCCTAAAATTCAAAGAGTGTTAAGGCCGGATATGTTTAACTTTGAAAGTCGAAAGTTGAAATTTTTACAAATTTCATCAGTTTTTTCTCCTTCCTTCCGTTCATTGGCTTTTTTTCAAATATCTGTTGGCTAAGTTTGAATTTTCAAACACTAATAGGTTCTTTCCGAATTGGTCTGAAGGTTACGCGGTTGCCTTGGAATCCTATGGTCTGGGGTTTAAGTCCTGGTTGGACCTGAATTTTTTCAGCAGATATGATTTTTTTCAGGGAAAGTTTGATTTTTTATACTTTCGTTTGTCTGCTTATTTTTGTCGGCTTAGTTGCCAATGCATGTAGATTTTTCCTTGAACAATTTTTTTTCTATATCTGACAGTCACCCTGTTATTCTGTCAATTTACCAGCTTGGTTTTTGATTGAAAACTTTTTCATTAAATGGTTTCGGCTCATGGCATGGTATAACGGCGCTTTTGTTTCGTGCTCAATAGGTGTCTACCCAAGTACTGATCGCCTATTGGCCGCTCGGTTAATGACACTAAAAGCTTATTTAATGCTTGTGGTTTTGTTTTGTACTGTTTTTATTCAGTTTTGATTATATTTTTGTCGTAATGATTTCGTCTTATTTTCTATTCGTATGCTTGCAATGCTACGCTTGCGTTTTATCGCAAGTGATACGAACCTGTGCTTCGTTCTGTGTAAATTTTGGGTTTAGAAACTCAATATTTCAATCAAATAGGTAGCTCTATTTGCAAAGGCGAGCATTGTGTTATCAATACAATTCAACTTTTTCCGATCTAACTCGTCGTAATTAAAATGCTCATTCTGATGGCATTTTTGCTGCTTAGAACTAGCAATAGAGATGGCAATTATTAGCATATGCTAGCCGTATTTTTGGTGGCTGTTTTGATAAAGTCAGCTCATGGCGCAGATGCGAGGACGTGAGGTTCTCAATCTCCAGGTTGGGGTTTCGATTTCATGTAACTTCTTAGTGCCAATTTGGTGTTTTGTCGCCTCTGATTTCTTGTCTTGTGTTTTCTTCTGTGTTCAATTTAGAGTGATTTTTGAGCTTGATCAATTCGCCGCTTGCGCAACGCGTTAAAAGAAAAATGGAAATTTCCCATATTAGCATTTTTCAAGTTTACAGAAATTGATCTAAGCTTAAATATAAGTTTCTGGAGAAAAAAAAGTCGAGCACAAATATTCCGTCAGTTACTAGTTACATGTTACATGTTACATTTTCTACAGAAAGACCAAAAGTGATTTTTGTCCACCACCTCAATCTTTTTTGGTTTCAGGTGTGCATTGTACCTCTGAACTGATCAAACACCTGCCAGTCGACATTGAGAACAACTTTGAGAACGTGTACTGTGAGAAAGTGGCCTTCGTCCTCCTTTGTCTGAAGGAGCTCTGTCGAGAGACTAAGTCCTGGGTGGGGGACGAGAGAGCGAAGGAGAAACAGAAGGTGCATGAGGACAACTGCAGGTAGGTGTCACCTCACAAAACGGAGTGAGTGTGTTCTGCTGTTGTGCTAATAAATGTAGAATCGGTTATTATAAATTAAGAAATGTATTTTATGGTGGAATTGGGTACTACTTAGAACCAAGCAATTTTTTTTCCTGGATGTGCATTCAAATTTCCCCAAACCCGGGCATTAATATCAAACATTTGATCACTTTGAACAAGTACCCAAAAGAGAGTCTTATTGTCATTGTTTCAAAACACGTAAGAGGAAATGTGTGGCCCAGCGAACAAAAAAATCTCTCAAAGATTTCTGTTGATCTCAATATATAAACTTGACATATAATTCAATAGTGTAATCAATTAAGTTGAGTTAATCAATGCGAAGACTGTTTTTTTTAAGCTTTTTATCATTTCTACGATATTTGCACAGCAACCGGCTACTCTTTGTGTTATTTAGTTGTTGCTATAACAACTCAATGTTGCGATTGGTTACTCGTATGCTCAATTTTAGATCGGAATTTGTTCGTTATTGAGGTAATGATATTCTCTGTTCCTATTGCCTACTCCTACTCTTGTATAAAATGACGGTATCAGGTTGTTAGTAATTGCATCCTCATAAATCATTTGATAGATGATTTAATTGATTGTCGAATATACCTAAGTCTTTTTAAACAGAACCCTTAGCTGATGTCTGGAACCCTGAAAATGTTGCAAATCATTTGCGATTCGAGATCTCCAAAATAGTTTTTTTTTAAAGTACCGCTAATTGAGGATGTTTGTGTAGGTATGTTCTACATGGCGATGGACTGAAGCTCATCATTCCCCTTGCAAAGTACAGAGATAGGAAAGAGTCGCAGTCACCCATTGGTACGTACTTTTCGATTTTTGTCATCGCGGCAAAAGACACAGAAATTTGACGACCTTTCTGACTTAATTTGCTCTTTGTTTTTACCGAATCATATTTAGTTCTTTTTTAAACCAATCATATAGCGTGACTTTTAGTGCCAATTCGGATAGTGAAGATAGCAGAGGAGCTGCTGGTTGAGATGTGGAACTGCAAGTCCATGCGGAAGGAGTACAAGGAGAGTAACTTCAGGAGGCCTCACTTTGACCCCCGGGCACTGGTGGGGGTGGAGAGAACTCACGAGCCCAAGACAGTCTCATCCACATTGGTCAGTGCAGTTGTTGCGGTCGTTTTTAAAGTTTGAAAGATCGATGAGATTTATTTAGTTTTTTGGGGGGTCTCTTTTTCCTTTCCCGCATCTGCAACTTGTAATTAGCTGAGTTCTTGTCTGACTCTAACTAATGCTTGCTTGTCTACGTGTGATGTATTTAAGTATTTCAAAGTGTCGTATAAGTACAGCAATTTGGTTATTCTTTTTTATCACCATCTCAAAACTGATGAGATCTTTTGTAGCAAATTGCTGTAATTATACGACACTTTGAAATACTTAAATACATCACACGTAGACAAGCAAGCATTAGTTAGAGTCAGACAAGAACTCAGCTAATTACAAGCTGCAGTTTTGAGATGGTGATGAAAAAGAATAACGAAACTAATTGTTTCGTTGTGCTTTCAGCGCAAGAGTAGAGCGAAGTCCGCTGATGACCTGAACAACAGCTTCGGAGGCACTAGATCCAGACACGGCACTGCCAGCAGAGGCGCCACCGCCAACCGTCACGGGGGGTCTTCTACTATGGTCAGTCGTGGGGGTGGGGCAGGTACAGCTGGGGAAGGAAGAGGCGACTACAACGGGTATGAACAGGGGGGAAGCTACTCTGCGAGAGATGCTGCAGCAGTGAGTCCAGCGATGACTCCGCACAGCGTTACCAGTGGCGAAGCAGGGCAGTTGCAGCCGGATTATAATAACCTTAATCGACGCTATTCGGGTGAGAATTTGAAGAAAACGGATTGTTTATAAATACCTTAAAAAATTTCTTTATTTTCGAATTCTGATGTGGTCTTCATTTTAAGGTTGTGAGCCATTCAAGTTCTTGATTAAAGTTTTGTCGAAATGTTTGTTCTTGGTCCATTCTAAACGTTTTTGTATCTTCTGTAAGTTTTAATTTGTTCGTGTTTTTAAGGCGATAATGGCGATAACTACATGCAGAATGAATATCGTCCTCAAGTAAGTGCCATGCGTACAACACGTACAAAACATCACTGATTTCTTAAATTCCATATCAGGTTTCTAAGACACTGATTTTTTTTCAGGATATGATGGATGCTCCAATAGCTGCCCCAAGGGGCTTGGATCCGTTTCAAATTCAGAATATGAGCCCAAATGTGAGAGGAATTATCTGAATCCAAAAATAAAATCATTTGTTAGACCACATTTAAGATTAATTGCACTTTAAGGTTTGCTTTCATCAGAATAAAGTTGCGGTTTTGGTTTTTGTTGGGGGTGCAGCGATAAGCATGTGTGTCTATCAGCTTGTGAACATAGCTTTAATTAGAAAAAACAACAGAGGCAAAATCCTTTTTTCTATAATCATTAGATAATAAGGGAACTAAGAATTGTAGGCAAATTGAATATTCGTTCAAAACGTGCAGTTTAAAGTTTACACGCAGTTTTACATTTAGATTTTGATTAATCAAATTATGAAATAGTAAGCGAGCCAACCACATTGTTTTACTTGGGCATTCTAATCGACGGTCCACGATTTTGTTTTTCGAATGTTTGTTGCTAAAAATATTTCTTTTTTCTAAATGTAGTCTACTTACATCTCTCGGAGTTCTAGTTTCTTCACTAAAGTGTGACTCAATCTCAGGTCTGTTATTGGGAATGCTTGCCGTGCTATTTAGTGAATGTTGAAAACGCTTAAAGAATCGATATTATCTTTCCCTTCAAAAATTCTTCTCCAATTTGATGGACTCGTCTTTTTGATTAATCCGCCCAAATTTGCGTGAAAGCGCAACAACTATAATGAGCACATGCTGCAAAGACATAGTAATTTTCAACCTATCAGGCTCGAACTTTTTTATTTCTTGGGTTGAAATTTTGACTCGGGCGAATTTGGGTGGAGTAACTATAAAGACCTCGGTGGAGTTTCTATACCTGACTGAATCGTACCCGTCATAGCAGTTTCAGTGATTAAATAACAGTTAAAAAATACTTTTGATTATTCAATGTAGTGGAAAGAGATTTATTGTCTTTAAAATGAGATCAAAATCAAGATTTTGGGTAAGTAATAACTATAAATAACACCGTATTCAAAGTTTCTCGTAAAATAGTGTGCAATGAATTCGTTTTAGTTTAGTTTGCACTAGTAGAATGTGATAAAGGGGCTCTTCTAAAGAAATAAGGATTTTCAATCAATTAACGTGATTTTTCTGCTCAAATCTCGTATTATCGTATACTGAATGATGATTTTCTAACGTAGTTTTCGGGCATTGGGTCCATATGGCATGGGCAATTCCCACAGTGCAAGAGTGCGTTTATTGACGTGTGTGATGATGGTATGTGTGTGTGTGTTTAGTTGAACCATTCACCAGTTAATAGCGTCACTTCGGATCGCAACTCCACCTCCTCTCATCAATTTGCACCTCCCTCTGCTAACCACAGCATCCGAAGCAACAACACCACCACCAACCAAAATCTAAGCACGCCTCACCAACCCTCGCATGCACAAACCAATTCTCCTATGGTTAATAACTCACAAATGGGTGGTGTGTTGGATTCCCATGAATACTCGAGTGTGAGTGCTTAGATATAGCTCATCATTACACAAGCAAGGCTTGTGTTATAGTATGAACTCTCTTTTTCCAACCTAAGTCGCAAATATTTTGAAAGTGTTCATTTTGATCAATAACCAGCTATTAAGTACAGCCAATGCTAAGGATATTAAGACTATTATATTAAAAATTGCACTTTAGCTTCAAGTTATCATGGATATATAGCGTAGAGGTAGGGAAGGAGACCTGCAGCAAAATAAGAGGGTTCGAACCTGGGCAGGGTCGGATGTTTTCGTCCGCTCTAAATTGAGGCATGTTAGTCGGTAATTTTTTTTTTCAAATTGACTAGTACTGCTAATGATAACGCTACTGGATAAAAAAATGAGTAAAACTTCGACTCTACAAAAACTCTTATGTGATGCACGCCAATTATGAGTCTGCATGATTGCTAAGTGGCGCAAGCCAATTATAACGCATAGTCATATTTTTTGCTTGTGTTTGCGAAGTGCAACTTCCCCTCTGTGTAATAATTACTTTTCGTTACCTATCTCTTTTTGGAATCATGCTGGTGGATAAAATAATTCAAGTGAATGATATCTCCAAAAAAACAAAGCACAAAAGATTCAAGAATGAAAAAAAATGCGATTTAGTTTATTTTGAAAAATCTTCCGAAATTCTCCCCCTTTGCTTGACTTGTCTTTTTGCTTAATCCGCACAAATGTACTTGAATGCGCATTACTGCTAAATTTACCGCGTTGATCCATCTATGATTGTCAGAAGCTCCAAATTTAGTCAATCAATTTGGAACATTTTTCTTTTCTGATTTTGACCTGGGCGGAATAAGTTAAAAGACCCAGCTGGGCTTTCTTTGCATGTCTTCATCCTACCCACCGTAGAAGTTTCAGTGGTTTGGGAATAGTCAAACAATGCTATATGACTATGCAACATAATATATGGAGAGCTTTTTTGGATAATGGAAAAAATAAATGTTTTGAAAGGATCATAGTATTTGTACACTGTTTTCTAATATGTGATAACAAAATCAAAACTTTTAGTTCACCCAGAATCATAAAAAATCCTGCGTTCATATTTTTTATAACAATGTTTGATGAATGCAATTTTTCTCTGGCTTACAATAACTGTTAATTAGGTACCGGTCTTCTCTCGTGACAGAAGGACCGTTTGCACGCACCGATAAATTTAGCTTATTTTATTCAGATGTTCGAATTTTTAGCTTATTTTATTCAGATGTTCGAATGCAGAGTTATGATTGGCAAAAAAAAAGATTTAGGGCATTCAATCATTTTGGCATGAGGTAAACCGGCATGCGATGGAAGATTGTGTATTGATTTTGTGTTTATTTAGTTCCACAATTCGCGAATTAACAGCGTCACTTCGGATCGAAACTCCACCTCCTCTCATCAATTTGCACCTCCATCTGCTAACCACAGCATCCGAAGCAACAACACCATCAACAGCAACAACCATCTTAACCCACCTTACCAACCCTCACAATCACAAACCAGTTTGCCCATGGCTAATAATTCACAAACACGTGGTGTGTTGGATTCCCATGTATACTCGAGTGTGAGTGCTTATATATACGCAATCATCATCATGATGATTTTTAGTAGCCGCTTATTTTTTCACACCAGATGTTAGACACGATATATTCGGTCAAGTGAATGTTTTCCCAAGATAAACTTTAACATCAACATTTATTCCTCTGAGCCGTACATTTCCAAAATTTTTATCCAAAAAAAAATAACTGGGTTATCCTTCTAGATTTATTCCTCTGCGCCCAACAATTTTTCCGAACTTTTGAAGTACAGCCTAATTCAGTTCTTTGCGAAGTAAAGTTGCAGTTGTGGTTCAAGATCCTCGATATTACCACAAATTGAACGAAATCGAAGTTTGATTCTTTCAAAAGTTTGTTGTGTGCACGTTTTGTGTTAGTTTTTGAACGGCGTGTTGTATTAATTTGATTCTAACAGAAGTGATTAGCTGGTATAGGAGTATTGGAGCATACCTTGGTTTTTTCAGAGGCCTGAATACTTCAACTCGTTACAGGTACAGGCGTGATTTCTTGAGGCCATCAATTGACGAAACTGAACTAGTATGAAACCTCATTTTGCACTGATTGTGAAAATATCATGCATCTTTTTTTAAGCATTGGGGTATTTACACTTGCTTATTTACACAGCTTAGTGTGTTATTAGGAACCTTCTTTTTTTCTAAGCTAGCTCGCAAATAAAAAAGTTCATTAAAAGTGTTCACTTATTTGGAAATTTCTCTGTAGCATTGGAAATTGCATAGATTTTTCGAGGTAAATAACTTGAGTAACAGAAATAATGAACAATTTCGAATGTTTATTTTTTTTATAATTCAGAATAATCGTCTTCTTTGGCGATTTTGCCTAGCAGTAATTTCTATGACTGGAAGACAAATGTCCTGAGTTCGAATCCGGCTTTTGCAGTATTTTTTTTAAAATTTGCGGGCCTATCAATTATCGGTTTACTTTTGTTGGCTTAGTTGCCTCTCAGCGCGAAACTTAAGAAGTAATTAATTCAAGGCCCTTTCAGATTGTAAATATCTTTTCACAAAAATTTTTCAATTTTTTTCGGTTCGTGGTTTTCGTCCTAATTTCTGTCGGTTAATTTTCCGTTTTTAAACGCCATTTTATCTGGTAGGGCTTTTACTGGTTTACTTTTTAAAACATGGGTTTTCGTTCTTCTCTTAATTGTTCAAACAGTTTCAGTTTATGTTATATCGACTTAGTCCGCTTATTTTGCGTCATTTCGAGAGCAAAATATATCCGTTTGGGATTTTTTGTTTCAGTTTGGATGGGTCGTAAAAATTTGTCATAAAAAGTTTTGGCGACAAATTTTGGCTCGAAACCTGTTGAGCCGAAAACAAAACTGTTTTCAATAATGGGTTTTCGTTTTTCTTCTAAATATTTAAACAAATTCAGTTTAGGTTATATCGACTTAGTCCAGTTATTTTGCGTCATTTCGAGGGCAAACAATATCCGTTTGGGATTTTTTATTTCAGTTTGGATGGGTCGTAAAAACTTATAAATTTTATGAAACTTTTTATGACAAATTTTTACGACCCATCCAAACTGAAATAAATAATCCCTAAAAGGATATTGTTTGCCCTCGAAATGACGCAAAATAAGTGGACTCAGTCGATATAACATAAACTGAATTTGTTTAAATATTTAGAAGAAAAACGAAAACCCATTATTGAAAACAGTTTTGTTTTCGGCTCAACAGGTTTCGAGCCAAAATTTGTCGCCAAAACTTTTTATGACAAATTTTTACGACCCATCCAAACTGAAACAACCGCTCGGTAAATAGTTTTCATTCTTAAGGGCTGTTTATGAACTTCATCCGATACAATTATGATGTTTTTGTATCTGTAATGTTTCAACTTTTGTCAAGTTATTTTTTCCTACGTATTTTTCATTCACTATTTTGTGGCGCAATGTTTTTTTTCCTCGGTATTTTCATTCACTATTTTGTGGCGCAATATTTTTTTCTTGCATCGCAAGTGTTGCAAAGCTCCGTTTTGCCTCTGTGTGTAATTTGTAGTTATTCTCTATCCTGATTTAGTACATTATTACCCATGTGGTTATTAAGCGTTGTTAAACCGGAATGTATACATTTTTCAGGTCAACAACTTGTTAAACATAATCACTTGTATCTTGTTTGATAATAAATGCGAACTTCTATGCGTCCCTGGCCAACTTGCCTGAAGGTAACGAATATGCTTGGGATGTCAAAGGCCCTGGGTTCAAAACTGACAAGGACCTGTTTTTTCTGTTTCAAAAAAAATGGTCGGTTTTTTTTGTTTCGCTAAAGAAGTTCCTCAACCCAGGTTAATTCGCCTCATTTTGTATCAGATTAATCGCCCATTTTTGAGTCGTTTCAAGGGAAACACAATTTAAACACTCCCCTCCGCACTCCCCTTGGAAAATGTCTGTGGGGAATATTTGACTCATACTTTTGATTTTTTTTTCTCGATAACTACTCCTCTCAAATCTGAGTTTTTGGTTTCAATTAATAAAACGGTTCTGAAACGCTCCGGGCTTAAGCGGCTACGCCCAAGTTGTTTTACGCATAATAGTCAAGTTTTTGATATTTGACCGTTTTGTGAATCTTTTCCACTTTTCTCGAAAACTAACCTCTCAAATCTGTTAATTCGAGTTCAATGGATATAAAGGGCATTGGTTAGCTCCCCTGCATTAGCGGCCACTAACAAAATTTTAAACACAAAAAGTAATTGCTCTCGGAAATGTCAAGTTTTGATTTTTTGACCGTTGTGTAAACTTTTTGAGTATTTGTTCAATCAAAACTACAGGTTGAGTGAATCACATCAGCATAAACAGCTGCGCCTTTTGTCACACAAAAAGCTATGATCTCGAAAATAACAAATTATTTTTGATTTGTTGACTGTTTTTTTTTGGATTTTTCTCGCTAATCTCACCAAATCTGATATAATAGGTTTAATCGAAACTACAGGTTGTTGAAAGCCTACCTTTTTAATTGGCTATGCCCACCTTATTTAAGAAAAATTTATAGCCTTTAAAGAAGTCAAAGTTTTGAAACTAAGACAGTTTTTCCGGAAGTTTTTGACTTTACGCGAAAACTACCATCGTTATTCTCAGGTTGTTATCAATCGAGAAATCGGTTTTGGGAATCTTCTCTACTTAAGCAGCCACAACCTGCTTTTTCCAAAAAAAAAGTTATGGGTTTTGGAAAGTCTTTTGACCGTTTCACAAGTTTTTTGAGTTTTCTTGAAATTTAGTCAATCAAATTTGAGATGAAAATTTCAATTGATAGATCGGGTTGCGATCTTTGTTCCTGCTTAAATTTTTGTAAGATTAAAGTTATATTCTTGGGAATATTGATTATCTCAAATTATTTTATTTTTCTCACTCATTTTAATAGAGAACCAACTATGTTTTTGGGCGAAGTCCAGTTTTTGAAATCCCATTTTTCGTGCCGCATCAGCATAGCAAATTCATTTTTGACTTTAGTTTTTTATGTTTTTGTGGTATCGCAAATGGTGCGCAGCTCTGCTTCACCTCTGTGTTAGGAGCCGATTAATGTAGTTCAAACACTGATGTAGGTCGCGATGATTTTTTCTTTTTTTTTCAAGAGGTTCAAACTTCCTTTTTCGCGGTTTGACTTGATTTCAAAGTTCAGTTGATTTCCTTTGGTGAAAGGAAGGCAAATTCCACAATCGATTAACAAAATGTAAAGGTCACAAAAGGTGATCGTCTCCTAGTTTCGAAAGTGGAATTTATTTATCGAATTTCCCAGCGGAATAACAATTTTACCTGTTGATTCAGTTTTCTCAAATTTGGGTAAATTTTATCCAAAACTGTCTATCATAAATTGTTCTAAAAGTTCAAGAGCTTCAAGGCCATCTATTTTTTCTACGAAATTCGAAAGTTTTTTGCTTGAAAAGTGTGTTTGGCTTAAATGGTTCCGGCTTTTTTTACATAGATTTAGTCACGCTATGTTGCATTGTGTTAAGTTGAACAGATTTAATTCTTGTAGTTTTCTCGATGTTTTTCCCAAATTAAACAGCATTTGAGACAAACGTACGAAACTTTTGTAGATTGTTTTATTTTATTTTTTGTCCGCTGGCTTACATTAATATGTTTGCGTTTTATCGTGTGGGGTGCGAAGGTCCGCTTAGCCTCTGTGGTCTAAAAACTCCTCAGGTGTCGATTAATTCTAATTTTGAACGAGAGCGTCTTTTTTCTCAAATTTTCGAAAAGATCTTTTTGAAACATCGTCCTTGGTGACGGTTGTTCGAGATCTACTGTGAACTGCGCTCGTTGCTAGCAAAGAAGCAACGTTTACACTTCGCAGCCTCGAAAAACAATCCCAAAATTACTTTTAGGCATTAATCACAGGCACAAGCGCCCTTCTCATATAAACTTAAGGTAGTCTTAAGTAACAATTTTCTGCCGTGAACAGCAGCAACTTTCTTTATTTAAAGTCCGTTGAATTGATTTGACAATTGTGCTCAACGAATTGTAACTAGCTCTTCACTTCTCGCCTTGCAAATTTTCCATTTTTGCACTACTTTTGAATGCTGTTATGGCTAATTTTGCTATGAAGTATGAAGAAAAAATGTGTTCAGAATAGTTACGTTAATTTGTTCTCCTTGCAAAATTAGTTTCCTTTTGGCAACGTTGAGACTTTCTCAAATTTTAAATTCAAATGTGTGGAAAATAGCTTTTTTCGATAAATTGTTTGGGAACAGGTTTTACTCGAGTTTTGTCTGCAGATTGACAAGCAAGGACGACATGTTTCCTCTGGCTACAACTATAACACACAAGTATCAACGTCCGCGCAACGCCAGCCACATCCGCACTACATGCACCAGACGTCACACGCACCCCAGAACAACTCAGACAGCGACGCAGCCGGACACTCCTGGGTTTAAAGAGAGAATTGGCGACGTAGTTCTAATTACGTAATCTCAATGAAGTAAAATCCAGCGATGTAATCGCAGTTTCTGGGAAATTTTTTGGAACTTGGTTGTATCTATAAACTATTTAAAGGTGATTTCAAATAATTGTTAAACGTAATACCGAAGGCAATTGTATTTTGGGTGTCGACGACAAAAGTTGGACTCGAAATTATTTTCTAAAATGTGGTTGCAAAAATTCTTCCTTGAAAGTATGTCTAGATTCTCCTGCGAAACTTGTTCAGTTAATTTTGTGTCCAAAAATATACTTGAACATGCCGCTACTGATGTATTATATTGATGTTTCATCCTATAATTTTGAACCTGTTTTTTTATTTGCTTTTTTAGTTACCGCCTTTTCAATTTCCTTGTTAGAATTTTTTCATAACATTCAATGATATTGGTTGTTGGATCACAAAACTGAAAGATAATTCCCGCATTTTAAGTGTGTTAAAATCGCAATGAACAATTGAATGCCGTTTTTGACTTATTTTGAGTCTAAATTCTATTTCATCCTGGGATCCATCTATCATACATGTACCCATTTAGTGCCTCTATGCAAACTTATAAAGTAATTTTAGTTTTGTAGTATATGGGAAAAATTGTAGAAACGATCTCTCCGAAAGATACTGAGTTGAGGTAACAATTTGATTTTCTTGAATTTATGCAAAAAAGTTGACCTCGTTATTAGACGCCTGAATTTTCTGTACTTCAATTCAGCGATAAGTAATTTTTCATAGGATCAATTTCATCATGATGGCGCTTTGAAGTGTTTTCAATTGTGAATATCACGTTTTTATGTAGTCTGAAATCATTAAAGCTAACCTAATGTACATTTTGTTTCTAATTAGAATCCCAAATTTGCTTTAACCGCTAACTCATCGTAACTTTTGTAACGAGTTCTAAATTTTGTAAATGGAAATTAAAATTTATTCACCTTTTCTTCGTGAAAGCCATTTGTTTTATCTAGTGACAAATTCGCCGATTAAGTTATAAACACCTCAGAAGCGACTAAAGACTAATCAGTAGGGCACAATTGTATATTTATTGATTAACTGTTCTTATTTGTAATGAACTGAAGACACTTTTTGAGGTCGTGATGCTTGTCGGAAAAAGTCTTTTTGTGGTTTGACTTTTGATTTCAAGTCAAGTTGTTTTGCTATAAGGAAGGTAAATTGCGCTCATCAATAACGAAAAGCAAAAATGCGCAAAAAAAAACGTAATCTAGTTCTAGGTTCAAGGGTGGATTTCAATTTAAAAGAGTTGTAAGCGTAATTACAAGTTAGGCTATTGACCCTGTTTCTACACAAGCGTAGTGAAATGTAAAACCACAATCCTACTCTTTCCAACTCTAGTAGCAAAGATAAGTACTACTCTTGGTGGCAATTTCAAAGCAGATAAATCGAAGAAGATATTTGAAGAAGATATTTGCTCCAACAGCAAAGTGATGAAGACTCATTTTCAGGAATTTTGTTGGTCAGTGTTATTGCGAAGTTTTCGAATGCATAGTTTGAAAACAATTTCGCTGTTTACTTTCCAATTTTCTACACGAAAAGCAATTGTGGTTGCCTTTAATTTATTTTTTTCTAAACTAGTACATAAAAGTACTTTTTTGAGCATTTTGTAGCTATTTTTGCCGATTTTTGTAAGCTTCAGTATTACTATAAGGAAGTACACTCGCTTAGAAAATTTGAATGTCGGGGAACTGAGCGGAGGTTCAATTCTCATAGTGGGAAATTTTCTTTCAAAACATTAGGTTTTAATTTTAAGATCTTTTTTGCCCTTTGTAATCTAACTCGCGGCGTATTTTCGCTTTGTTTGCGACGTGCAGCCTCGCCTCTGCGTCTCAGATAAGGTTATTTAAAACAAAAATTTAAATTATGAATTATTTCTTAATTCAAATTATTTGTATAAAAATAGAAAATTGATTTTTTCTCAAATTGATGATTTTTTTATGTGTTTATTGGCAACTATTGAACTCTGCTGGCTGTCTGTTACTGCCAGTTTCTTACTATCATTTAAGTACTTCATTTTAGAAGGTTTTGCGAAGTTGTCTTAGCGTTATAGAGAATTGCAAAACGTTCGGATGGATAATTAAATTGAAAATGCATAAAGCAAGATTCTCATTTAGGTGTGTCTCAAATTAGCAAGCAAATGGATGCAAAATGATAGACTACCCCTCAATGAATTATTTCCACCCAAACTTTTTGAGCTTTTTATAATTGTTCAAATACAAGAGGTTGCTGAAAGCTCTTTAATTATTTTTATCATCTATATAAGACCAAAATACTATTTCGAGAGTATTTGAACAAATGTGTCATTATGAAGCCTGAATTAAGAAGCCATAATAGTAACGTTGTTATCTCGGAATCGGGAGAGAACGGTATCTAGTCTCCGCTGTCGCAAGTTTTGTATCAGAACGAAACTTGTTTTTTTTAGTGTTAAGCGACCTACTTGCCATGTTTTGCATGTCTTGCGTGGGCCGCTTTGCTCTTGTGTCTCTTAGTTAGTAGAAACAAATCAATTAAATTATAAGGATAGTTTTGTAGGATTTTGTTATGAAAAATTTAGTATATAAGCCAAGATAGAAACCGTAGTGTAGTAGTAGTAGTAGTATGAATCTTCTGTTTGTTCCAACCAAAGTCACAAATAAAAAGCTCATTGTTTGTAAATTGCAAGAATCACGGTTCTGTATAATTGGAATTTTAATAGTTTCTGTTCGCTGCGTTTTTGTTGGTGAGTAATTGCCGCTCGCCAAGCGCCCGTAGCCCAGATGGAAAATCCTAATCTACAAGTTGGATATTCAATGCCGCATGTAGCACTCTTTTTTTAAATATATTTGATGGCGTTTTTAGCCATCAAATAAACCATGAACATTTCGGAACACCAAACACCAATAAAGCAGCTACAGATTAATAGTTAGTTCAAAGCGAGCGGCCCAGATACGAGGGCGTGAGGTTTCAAATCCAAAGAGGGAGGTTCGAATCCAGCATAACCAGCTCAATGATTATAAATTTATTTTTTTTGCGGGAAGAAAACTTCAAAGAACTCTGGGGGTCCACGGAATGTTGTATTTTGCGGTTAACAAGATTTCTTAAATGATTGTTCAGAATATTTAACCTGGTTTTCTATTTACATTTTAAGTATTACGGTCAAAGCGTGAACAAAACTTCTATTTTTGCATCTTTTTTTTTTATTTTAGCCCTCACAACCTAATAGCAAAAAAATTATAGCTACCCCCAGTTTAAAACAATTGATGTGCTGTCATTCATAAGTGAATTGATACAAAAGTACATTCTGATTTTGTTAGAACTGACTGAAGCCTTCAATAAAATCGCGATTTCTCTATGAAAAAATAAAGATGCACATTCTATTTCATTGTAAATAAGGATGCACATGCTATTTCATTGTAAATAAAGATGCACGTGCTATTTCATTGTAAAATGTTTTTTTTTTATCTGAGTTATTCAGTTTAAATTTCTGGGGACGTTTTTTTTTTGCTGGGGCTATAAATTACTGTGCGGGCTATAATGGGAAAGACCCCTGATTAGCTCGACTATTTTCACTATGCTCGTTCAATGTTTTTGACTTTCTCAGCCGAAGTTGAGTTGCTCGACATATGTTTTGACACTATCGACCGAAACAAGCTGTATCAATTTTGTGTTCGGCTTAAAAGTGCTGCTCGACCCCTGCGCATTTTCAGTCACTTCTAAATTGAAAGTTAGTTCAAATAATTAGGCCTGGGTAAGTCCAGGTTCCTTAGTAAAATATGCACATGCGCTACATCAATGAGTTAATTTTCTTCATGGGACTGAACATTTAAATCTAGTTATTCGCTGTCAAAATTTCGGTATCAGAATTAACCTTTTTGGGCTCCGTTTTTTTAAGTGTTAAGAAACCTATGCCATGATTTTACATGTCTTGCGTAGGCCACTTTGCTCTTGTGTCTAATCGCGGAGATATATAAAAGAAAACGAGTGTTTGCTAAAACTAAATAATTTTTTTTGTAAGATAGTTTTGTAATTTTGTTAATAAAAAATTTAGTGTAAACGCCAATCTAGCAATCTTAGTTTAGTATGTATCTTTTTTTTTCTTCCAACCATAGTCGCAAATAAAAAGTTCAAATAATAAAGTCCAATGTTTGTATTTTTGCAATACTCTCGGTCTGTAGCATTGGAAAAGTAATAGCCTCTGTTCGCTGCTTTATTGTTGGCTAGTGTTTGCCAAGCGCCAGTGTCACAGAGAGAAGACTCCTAATCTACAAATCGGAGATCCAATGCCTCTTATAGCACTGTTTTTTTAAATAATTGGTGGCGTTTTTGGCACTTAATTAAACTGTAGCTGCTTTGTTGGTGACTGGTGTTGCAAAATTTTCAAGGCGAGTGGGTCAGAAACAAGGACGTGAGGCTTCTAATCACGAAGAGGAAGGTTCGAGTCCGGCTTAAAAAGCTGAATGAATTTCTGAATGAAATTTTCACCGTCCGAAGAACACCTTAAAGAATCACGATTTCTCTATGAAAAAATAAAGATGCACAGACTTTTTGCTTGTGCATATTTTTTGTTGTATCTGATTTACTTACTTTAATTTACTAGTGGGGGACTGCTGTTTCTGGGGGTGAGGTCTATAACTTACTGGAGGAGGGATGGTGGCTATAATGGGAGAGACCCTTGATTAGCTCGACTGTTTTCACTATGCTCGTTCTATATTTCGACTTTCTCAGCCGAAATCGAGTCGGACATATATTTTGACACTCTCGACCAACATAAGCTGTGTCAATTTTGCTGTGCTCGACTTAAAAGTGCTGCTCGACCCCCTGCCCATTTTCAGTCACAAAACTGCACTTTTCAAAGTCGAAAGCTAGTTCAAATACCTCGGCTGGGATAGGTCCAGGTTCGTCAGTAAAATACGCACGTACGCTTAATCAATGATTTTCTGATTAATATTAGGACTGGGCGTTCTTATCTAATTTCCTTTTTCTTATACAACTTTTGTTTCAGGGAGTATTTTGCGCGCAAAGCGAGGCTACTTTCTCCACTGGCTTTTATGTAACAATAACAAAATATTCTTATAAAAATTTGTCGTTTTTAAAAAAGAAACAAAAACATTTTGCTTTTTTATTTTATTGATTCAACAATATCATCAAACAAAAGAAAATGGTATAATATACATACTTAACTGAGTTGGTATCAATGAATCGACAATTCAAATTCTGCGTGGTATTAAACTCAATTAGAGACAATTTTCTATCTAAAAATCTAGATGAAAAGATTTACGAATAAACTACATTGAAAAGAGGCTAATGGACAAATTAACCTTTCAGACAGTGTCGCAGAAAGCATTTGCAGGTAAGAAATATTCATTAAATCAAGTCATGACCAAAAAAAATTGCAATTATTTCTCCCTTTTTAATCTGTGTGAGTTTTTTGCATAGTCAACTGTTACTTCTTATGCTTTCATAGTTAACAGTTTTAGTTTCTTCGATGGTTATATTGGACATAAAACGCCACGTTGTAAATGGTTATCTAGTTTTTAAAAAATGCTACAACGTTATTAGCTTTGGCTGTTCATTTTTTTTAAATAAAAGGCCGAACCTACAAAACTCATGATGAGATGATTATGAGCCAAAGCTCACTGCAATTTTTCATGCCTATTCTTACCACTTAAATGCGCAATTTGTCCTTCAGATCCTCGACCCGAAGTGTCGTATCGAAGTGTTGCCCTAAAGGGACAACCTGGCCACGTGAATCCGGCTGACGAACGGAACCTGTGCCGCTCCTGGAAGCCAGGTGGGGTTAGTCCAGCTTGCTTGAAACTTTTTGTGTCAAATTCCTTTTGAGAGTAATGCTTGCAATTAATAGTATATCCAAGGGTCAATAGAAACGTTTTATACATTTCGATCCTTTTTCGATTTGAGTGATCCTACCGTTGAATGATCAAATTCACAATTTGAATGAAATTTCCACACCTGTTTTTTGCACACCTGTCAGAAATTGCAACCTTGTGACAACTGCTCGCAAAACTTTAAAGTTCGTGCTTTTTCTTCGTGTCCCCCAACCACCGACGAAAAAGATTTTGAGCGTTAACTATATAGTTTCTCAATATTGAAGATGAATACCAAATGTGTTTGGAATCCGTTATTTGCCATGCACGTGGAATTTTAAAACAGTCGGGCAATTTTAATGCAACTTGGTAAAAATCACAGGTGATCGAGATGGTAGATTTAAAAAGCCTACTTAACTGTTCCAGTAAAAATGCAGAGTTTAGTTTTCCAGGAAAATAGCCGAGTTTAGTTTTCCAAGAAAAAAAAACGAGTTCAATTTTCCTAATGAGTAGTGAGTTAGGACCGAAGTGTAACTCATAGAGTAATTTCGGATAGGGTACACCGTCTGCTCGTCACGCTATCTTATTTTCGGCCGGATAGATTCGTGCAACTTCTTAGTCTAATACCGATCCTAATCTTACTCTTATACTATCTAGTCTCAGGTTGTTTAACTAGTCTCTGCTAGGCTCAATAGATCTAGGGTATACTGGTTTATTGCGGCTGCTGAAGTGCTCGGGAGAGTCCAACTAATTTCTAAGTTAAATTCAAATCTCTCTGGTGCTGAAATTACAAGTAACTTCAGCACTTACAAATAAGTGGGTTGTTAGTTAGATGGATTGTGATTGGTTAATATTAAATACTTTACATTGGTAAAACATTTAATTTATCCAATCATAAAATATAGTTTAGATCAGGTTCCACCCATCCGGGTTTTACAGAGTTTTTTAGAATAGTTCTTTTGCAATTCGAAGGATGGATGATGGAAGTTGGTGTTTGGCGAACATCTTATTTCTTCTGTTTCCTTTTTGTTAAAGAAGTTCCAGGAAGCTGGAGTTAGAGACTTAAGACGTTGTGTTCTTTTTGTGACAACGACTGAGTTCTCTGCAACAAAATCAATTCTGATTTCAGAATGGTTTGCTATGTCAGGTTTTTCTGTTCTGCGTGGAGAACTTCTTTTGTGTATGGTCTAGTTTGGGAATGGCGTGGAGATTGTGCGTGGAGGGGATGCCTGGTTACTCGGATCTGTACGTATACTTGAACATCGAGGTGGTCATTGGTCTAGTTCAATGAAGTCCTTTTCTGCGAGGTCAAGTCGTACTCTAAATCCTTTGAGTTGTGATTGTGAGCGGCATATCGATTGTAGTTGGTCATTCTCTCTCGAGTGTAGTGGGGTCGTCTTGTCTTTTGATGTTCGTCCTTGGTGTTGTATTCTGATCTATATATTGCATCATGTGATTTTACATTTTATAAAACTTTTATTAGTTTAATATTTTTTAATAATGATTTTAGTTAGTTGTTTTCACAAAAGCTTTTTGTTTTAGTTCGGTTATTTTGAAGAGTTACTCACACTTGAGTAGCTCTTATTAAAAATAAAGGTGTGGTCACAAAGCGTGGATGTAGCGCGGTGGGTTAGGCCGGCTATAGAGCATGCTCAGGACGTCCTTCCTGGTGGGTTAGGCCAGGAGTGGGAGTATGATTTCGTGCGGTTTTTGTGAGGGGTCCTGTTATGTGACAACGTTTTATGTTGGGTTTGTTGTGGTCTTACTTATGTTTTGTTGGTTGTGTCCTTTTTTCAAAAATCAAATTGTTTGTGGTATGGGTTTGTCTTTCGACTTTTTTGTGTTTTATTATTTCTTTCTTAGACTTTATAATAGTCTTCAAAAGAATAAATTATCCAGTTTTAAACTGGGTTAATCCGGTTTGGGTACCGTTGGTTTCCTTTTCTAAGTCATGCTGTTATTCTATGATTTGTGGTATTTAGTAAGCTGCGTTGGTTAGTTTTGTTTAGTATATGATTCCTTTCCAACCGGGTTAAAGGAAAGTTTGAAACATGTTATTATATGTTAGAGTTGTTGAGTGTGAAAACTTGAAACTGAAATTCATTATTTTAAACAATTCTTCGTGGGCAAGCTGTGCGAGTGTGGATAGAATTTCTGTGCGAATGAATGAAAATATCAAAAGGTTAGTACTGCATTTGCATTTATTTAATTTACTACATAGAATTTAGAAATTTACTGCTAGTCATGGGGGAATATTAAGATACAAATTTTCATCATAATTAGATTTACTGCTTGTGGGGGAAAATTTTAGAAATGAATTTACTGCATTGGTATTAAATTTATAAATTTATAAGTGTAAGAGATTAATAGAATTTTTGAAATCTGTTTGATGAAATTTGCGATTTTTATTTGTCTTTTGTGGTTTTTTGTAGGTGATCGTCGGATGAAGGCTAAAAATCTAAAGAAAACATGAATAAAGTATGGTGAGTTTTTTAATATTTTAATTAGTTAGTAATATTCATTTAATTCATACTTACCTGTTAGTCGTCGGGGAAAAAACCGTGGGGGAAGATGTCGTGAATTAGTTCTGAAGTTGTTAGTAGTTTAGCTAAGATGCGGATGATATTTTTAGTCTGAAGCAGTGGCCAAAGCAATTGAAGTGCCTTGATAGTGGTTAGTTCTTCAGTGCCAACTGCAAACTCATAAGGTGTGTTTTGGATTAGATTATATAATTTGTGATTGAATTTAGTGTTGTGGATGAATTCTAAAATTGGGATTTCTATGGGTTGTACAAACTCGTGCGGGATAAGGAAGGGTCGGGATTCTTCGGCATTGAAGGTCTTGGTAATGGGACAGAAGATGTACATTTGGGTTATGGGGTCATAATTACGAAGAATACCATGGAGGTTAGTGTCTTTAATACAATATGTGAAATTTAGGAAAAATGGTGAAGTGTATTTGGAATTAATGAATTGAAAACGATGGTGTGGTTGTCTAGAAGGTGTGTGTAGGTCAAAGTGATTTTGGATGAAGCGATAATAACTATATGTGTGGGTTTGTTTAGTGCGCAACATGATATCGTGTGAGCAGTGTAAATCTCTTTCGTGTGGTGCAAGGAAATGAAAGGTTAGTGAAAATATTTGGAAGCGTTCTTTAAAACTTTCGTATGCTTGTGTGTCTGTTAGTGCTTCTGAAATAATGTGATCAAACTTTCGGTCGAAGATGTTTAGTGTGAATGTATATGGTGTCTTGATGAAAAATTTCTCGGTAATTTGTGGATTAGCGAAGCGATCGTCGTCTAAGAATTGATCTTGGTTAGCTCTGATGATGTTGTGATCATAGTATTCGAGTGTATATTCGTTAGCTCTAGGTGCAGTGTGTGTTTTTAGTGATTTTTTATATCCAACGTAAGTAAATTGTCTAGGTGTTAGTGGTGTAGTGAGTCGATATAGCATGTCCGTATTTCGCTCTATATCAATGTGAGTGTTAGATAAAGGTAAGCAAAGAGGGTTAGTGAAATGATAATATGAGGTCCAAGAGAGAGTGGGCATTAAAACGTATTCATCTACGAAGTTGCGTGTTTCGTTAGTGTCGTGGGGGTGTTTAAGGTGTATTGTGGGAATGAGGGTAAGGTGATGGCTAAAAATTCTTTTGTGTTAGTATGCTTGGGGTGGTTGATGTATTCACGGGCTGTTCCTGGTTTTGCTGGGAAAGGATGGTTGGGGAACTTTCTTTTAAAAGTGCGGTAAGCTCTATTAGTGTTGAGTGAAGATTCAGTTGATGTGGATGATGGTGCTAATGATTCAGTATAATTTGAAGAGGGTGTAGGGGTAGGGGGGTTGGATGAATTTATTGTGGAGGAGATTTGGTTTATGGTTGGGGTATTAAGGTGGTAGGGTTGTTGTTGAAGGGTAATAAAATTATCTAGCTCTGGGGAGATTCGGGGGGTGTCTGGAGAATGAGATGATTGGTCAGAATGGTATGAGGAGTAGGTTGGGGTAACTTGGGAAGCATAAGAGGGTGTGGGAGTGATTGGGTCAGGGTTATTGGATAATATGGGTTGAAAAGGGGGTTGAGAAAAATTAGAAGAGTAATGAAAATTATTGGATGGGGATGGTTCTGAGTCGGCAAATTCATCGGGGGTTTCAATATTCGGGTTATTGAGTTGTGAGATGGAATATAAAACTGAGATGTGTGAATTAGTGTCGGAATTCATGCCTGATGTTACATTACTAGATGGAAAATCGGGTGGCGGAAAAGCAAAAAGTGGTATTATTGGGATTGGAGAGGTAAGATTGGTTGGGTGGGAATTTGATCGGTGTAGTGATCCAAGTTGGCGGCTCATCGTGGGCTAAAAAAATGATTATTTTGAGATTGAAAAGCGGTGGTATGGGGTTGTTCAATAATTTGTTCATAAGTATTATCATCTTGTGACTGGTGTGTCATTATATGTTGGATGGGACTTTGTGATGTGGTGTGTCGAAAATTTGGATTATGTGTGATGGCTAAGTTTCGAAAATTTCGTGGGACTAGGGATAGTGGATGGTTATTTGGTAGGGGTGGTAATTGTGGTGCCGTTGGCGTTATGTCTACATTGTTATGTTCTTCGTCGTATGTATTTTGTCGTGTTGTTATTTTTGTGTTATATTCTTTTATTTGTGCGTCTAAAAGAATTTTGTTTATAGATGTAGAAAAGATTCCAAAAAATCCTGCAAATAGTATGCGTGCTACACTTGCTTGTCTGTTTACTTGTGTGTGTATAGCACATGTGTTGTAGATTCCTTTTAAAAGTGAGAAAAGAAATCCAATAAAGTTAAACATTGCGTATAAAATAGTCAATTTTTCTAAGATGTAGTAGGGCCATCCTAGAAAATCGAGGATCTCATTTTTGAGTGTAACAAAGCTAAAAATGTTAATTGGTGATATATCTTGGGGACGGTATTTTTCACCGTTTAGATATATATAATCTTT